TTTATAAATATATAACTAAAATGTATAAACATATTTTACATAGCATGAGAATGATAGGCTTTTGTTTTTGTGAACAAAAAATAGGGATAGCACTACAAGTACAATACTAAATCAAAATCTCGGCACTATTGAAATTATAAGTGAAGTAACATTTAAGATTTTTGAAATAACCTTTCAGAATTTTAAATATTTTGAAGTTGTATTAAAGACCAAGAACATGGAATCTCTGCTTTTTTGGATCAGTGTTCTACACATAGGTCTTTATATTTGTCGAATAACTTTTTGGGGACATGATGTTTTTGTAAAGAATTCGGTGAAGAACATTTTAATAAAGCTTTCAGAATTACTCTTGTTCTTAATATTTTTATTTCTATGATATTGAATAACTTAGTCACTCCCAGGCTCCTTCCATACCTCCTTAGGACCTATTGAATATAGGACTACAGTTTAGATCCCTTTCTTTAAGATGCTTCATCATTTACACTTGTAGAGCATGGGGGTGTCAATCATACATGGCTTTAATCTGTGGGATTCTATGGAATGTCTGAGATGAAATCAAATAATCCTCTCAGTAAGTTTGTTTATTCATTCATATATTGATTCATTCAGGAAGTCTCATGCCAGCTCTATGTTTGAGAAAAGTCCCCAGTTTTATTCTCACCACTCTGGTATTAATTCTGGGACTTGGAAAGCACACTGGTTAGAGCCCTTGGAACTAACAGCTCTTTCTGGTAAATAAATTATTATGTACTATCAATGCAGCAAAACCTCTTCCTTTGCATTACTTTTCAATACTACATCCAATTCATAATTCTTTATCCTTTGTTTCCTATAGAGTTATTAGGACTTTAAATCCAGAAGTAATGCTATAATGGGAAATATTTTGGAGGGACAAGCAAAGGCCAATAATCTAAATCAGTTCTAGATGTTTGCTAGAGTTCTACAGAGAAAGATTAGGAACCAAGCAAGGGGGCAGAGAACACATTTCCTCATTCTGATGCTGGGAGACTAATGTAACTGATTTTGCCTCTCCGTTAAAAGACTCAGTTGGTTAACCACATGTTAACCACAGGGTCCTCCTGGAGTACTAGGCTTAATTAATTGTAATATTGCTTAGGTGATTTGTAACTCAGCTATAGGATATTTAGATAGTACATGCCTTTTTTTTTTGCAACATCTTTTTTTAATCTGGTTCTTATTGCATTCTATACATATTTGAACTTTGCTTTCTCCATTGTGAAACTTGTTCATTTCTCATTTTAGTAATCTATAACTAATCAACTTATTTATTCAAGTATTTTATTCCCTAAGTATTAAATTGAAATTTTGTTTTGGAAAAAATATATCACTGTAGATAATACTGGTAGCTCCACCTCTGATATGTCAGGCAGCAATTTTGTATACTTCACATGCAGTAATTCATTTGATTCTCTCCAACTTCACTCTATGTCCAACCTGACCTTCAGTTCCCAGAATTGGTGGATAATTTAAACCTCAATACATAATATATAATAAGTGTAGTAATTTAGAACTTTGCAGCGGGCTTAATTTCATACTTAGCTCATCCTCGTTATAATTTTCATGCACTCTTATTTCCTTATAATATTAGCCATTAAGTTCCTTTGTGGACACAGGCAATATGATTCAACCATCTTTACCACCTTTTAACATCTCGCACATCATAGCTTACTAAATAAATTCCAGGCAAAATTATCAGATGTGATGTTTAAGGGATTCACTATTTTAAAAGCAACACTAACATGTTTGGAATAGACTATCAGTGGATTAGTATTGCTCATTGTTTTTTTGCTTATTCTTTTTAAAACTCTGCTTACCCTATCCTTCTAGTTGAGTTAGGCAAGATCTAATTTGCAGAGTTTGTGCAAATAATAGGTATTTTTTCAAATTGTATGATGTACCTGCTCCTTATCAGATTCTGACATGGCCCTGCATAGTATTCAACCTCATTTTCTGCCCCTTTTCCCTTGCTCACTATTTTCCAGCTACCTTGGCTTTCTTCACTTTCTAAACATGACAAGCTCTTTTGCTTTAGGGTTTTTGACTGGAATGTTCTTTAATTC